AAACAGAGAGTTAGAGAAAGGGGAGAGAAATCGTAGGGAGAGAGAGAGAGAGAGGGCTCAACTTTGTGATCGAGAACCCATGTTGTTGGAACAAGAAATAAAGGAGGAGAAGAAAAAAATTGGAAGAGGAGCTCTAGTTTTTTAGGAAGAAGAACTAGTAAACTTAGGTCATTTTTGTTTGGAAGGACTGGATTAGCATTCCCATGACTAATAGTCTTAGGATTACGAATCCATTGGATTATGTATACTATCTTAACTAATAGTCAAGTTTAAAATAATTAGTCCGTACTTCAATTATTTAACCAAACATCAGATTAATAATTTTATTGGACTATTAGTCCAATCCCAAGCTCATGTCTACCCAAACAAACATGACCTAAGTATAGAATTTCTGTTTAAATTATATAGAATCTTTACATTATGCTTGAAAATAAAGGTGAAATTGGACTCAAGATCATGTAATTAATAGGAATTAGCAAGAAGATGAAGAAAATTAGAATTATGTTTATAGATTATGGAGATAAATTGGATATTAATTAGTTAGAGTTTGATTTCTATTATTCTTCACAAATTGAAACTCATCCTTGCATGCATGTTGGAATTTCAAGGTTTTAGATTTAATTCATGTGTAAAAGATTGATAAGTTTAAATTTGGGTTAGATATGAAGGAAATTAATAAAAATCTAAATTAGAGTAATTGAAGAATGAAATTATGATTTGATTTTGAATATAGAAAATTAGTTAGTTTCAATCTTAATTTCATACCTACAAATACTTTCCTAAGAGTCATATAACTTCAATTTCATGTAAATTAAAAAGGAATTAGTAAAAGGGTGATGAAATTGAATTAGATTCAAAATTATAGAAGTTAATTTGAAATGGGTTACATGCATGTGAATGGTTATGGAAAATAAATCAGGAATTAATTATTTTGGGTCTGATGTTGTGATTTTGCATGAAATTAAGCCTCATTGTTACTTGCATGAATAAACTTTACAAGTCTAATACTCTAATTATACATGCATCATGGATTTTGAAGGATTTGGATTAATTCAATCTCATATTTTGAAGAGAAAAATGAAATGTTTTATGAACATCAAGTTTATAGAAAATTAGAATTAATCCTAATGCTAGATAAAGTTTTGATTTTATAATTAGATTTTTAATCCATGCATGTAGTGTGATTTAAGATTTTATTTAAATTAAACATATTTTGATTATGAATTAAGTTAAGATTACAAATTAAGTTGAGTTTAAGATTATGGAAATTAGTTGGAAAATTTATAAGAAGTTTCATGACTCCAATTTCATGATTTCTAATTGAAAGTGTTTATTTAATTATACAATGGTTTTTCGTTTTTGTGTACCAAAAGTACATGTTTTGAGGCTTTGAATACCAAATTTGAACTTCAATTGCAATTTTGGAATTTCAGAATTTGCGTTGTCCGCTCAAGCGAGGGAAGTCTCGCTCGAGCGTGAAAATCGAGTTCCCAGTAGTTTTTCAAATTTTGCAGTCTGCTCGAGCGACCAAAGTGGTGCTCGAGCGGAGACCCATTTTCAGTATATTTTGGAAAATTGTATTTAGTTCACATTTTTATTCTCATCTCTTTCCAAGGCATTCTAGACATGATTTATAACTCAATAAAGATTAATAAGCTACCAATCAACATGGATTAGTTAATTGAAGAATGAATCATTGATCTAGTGGTAATTGTTTAAGAAGCCAAGTAAATGATCAATCTATTTAGAAGAAAGACTTAATAATGAAAGAATATGTGAAATAAGAACCTGGCTTATTTGAATGAGAAAGAATCAGCGTAGTATAACTTCGGACTATTTAAACGGAAAAAGACTAGAAAAGTCAAGTTTGATCAAGGAAGGTATTTCAATGTGTTTATGTTATGTGCTTGTGTAGGTCACGCGCCATTGTTTGCCTGATTTATCTGATATGTCCAGTCTATCTGATTCGCTTCTGCAGCTATCTGTGAATAATAACTTAGTAAAGTTATGTTCAACCGTATTTATTTTCTGTATGATAAAATGAGATCTGTTTTCTGAAATGATATGTTCTGTACAATGAATGATTGCCCAATTTCTGATATGTATTCGTGACATCCTTAGCATCATGTGATATCTGTTGGCTGTTATCCGGTATCGGAGGTTCCTTTATGGAACTTAATCTGTTAGCACTCTGTTACCCGTACCGGAGGCCCCGTCACGGGGGCTCAACATATTTCTGTTCTGTTCTGTTCTGTTACCCGGATCCGGAGGTTCCTTTATGGAACTAGTTATTCGTAACCTCACGTGTATACGTTCTGTTCTGTTCTGTTAATGCTAATGGATGTATCACGTATACTTACGCATGACTTATGATTTCTGTCTGTATATGATCTGGACAAATTGTGACTTTGATATGAAACTGAATTATGATTTCTGAATCTGTACGGACTCATTCATTGAAACCCCTTTACCCTGTTATTGTTCACTGAGCTTTCGCTCACGGTTTATATTATGTATGTAGGTGAGTCGGCGCGCGATCAGGGCCAGAGTCGACAGCCTTCATTTATGTTTTTGTCAGCCAATCGTTGTGCCTCCCGTGGAGGTTTCGGATATGTCAAGTGATTGTTGCTATGTGATTTAAAGTTTTAGTTCTGTTCTCTTGTTTGGTTAAACAAGTCTTGTGTATTTTGTAAAAGAGGCTAAGTCCTTTTTGTCTGATCTGTATATATATTATGACGTAGGGACGATGTGTATGTATGTATATAAAAAAATTTAAAATTTTTCTGTCTCATATAAGTCTGCACAGCTCAATGGGCGTTGTATATTTACTATTTGCTTCCGCTAGCCCCTAATATTATGTTAATCTATCTCAGAGGCCTTCGGTAATCCCAAGATTATTGACCGATTACGATACTAAACCTATAAGGGCGAGTTTGGGTCGTGACATGTTCTTTTGCACTTGCTTGTGCGCCTCTGTAACAGTTGCTTACTATTTGTCTTGCCTAATTTCACCAACCTTGGCCCTGATTCGTGACCGCGCCATTGAACCATCACTCCTGAGACTGTTGGTCAAAGGCAAAAGGGGTGGCATTTATTGCACCGTTTTTTCTTGTGTCATGCAGTTAAAATGTTAGCATAGCTACTCAACTGATGTGTAAAGAATATGGAAAGGTTTCTCTATGCCATTAATTCAACTTTTGGTTGTCAGCAAAGTAAATATTATTCTTAACAAATGGTATTGGAGCTTTAGGTGGGTTTTTTCCCCAATAGTAGGCATGAGGAGATGACGTAGCAAAGGCTAGGTGCATCATGTGGAGAGCCAGATATAGGTTCCAACAGTATGAATGATTTTTTTTTTTTTTCTCTCCTTGTTCTTCACCTTCCATTTTCTTCAGACTCTTGATAATTCTTGTATTAGCAATTTTGGTTTTACTTTTTATAGCATATATTAATGTGTGCTCCGTTTCCTTTTTACGATAAATATTAATGTTAATCACATGAACTCAAGTTTCTATGGTTTCAAAGGATTAAACTTGGCAAAAAGATGTTGTATAAACACACTTCAAGCCCTTTCGTTGTGAGAATTGTACATGTTTTTTTTTTTTTTTTCTGAATGGCAGTAGTGGATTGTTTTTCTTGCTGCATTTGACATTAGGAGAACATATTTCATTGTTATTTCTCAATGTAAAATGCATTGGTGTCCAACTACTAATGTAGGGTAGTCATTTTGTTTTCATCTCTTTAGTTATAAATTATTCTGCTGCTGCCTTGTGGGAGACGCCAGGCATTTTAGGGCCTATGCTGATATTTTGACGTTACAACATGCCAAAGAAGAGAAGAGATCGATCTATGTCTTATGATAGAGCCAGGGCATCTCCTTTTTTAGTATCTCAAAATTCTCTTCTTAACGCGTTCATCCCACAAATGGTTAGACTAACAAGCCGGTCTTGCTCATAGAACAATGTCATATGGTATTTCGCTTCTATTTATCATTGTCAACCGAACTTGAAAAATTATGCGTGTTCTTGTACTTCATGTAACCAAGTTTCTTGGAGTCTATTTTTACACTACAAGAAAATACACCTTTGGCGACTAAATTTTTAGTCGCCAAAAGTCTCTTTTTAGTCACCTTTGGTGCCTCAAACCTCCCACGCTTCGAACCTGAGACCTCCAGGTGGTTCCAAACCTTAACCACACACTCGACCCCACTATGCCACTGAACCATCTCATGGCTATAGTTGCAACTTATATTATTTATATATTACTTTCACCAGTATTAATACAAAACTATATATATAAATGTAATTATATATATTCAATATAATTTATGTAAAAAATAAATTATTTATTAAAAAAAATTTAGATCACTTTTGGCGACTAAAAAAATTATTTAGTCGCCAATTCTATTATTTTTGGGCTACTAATTAATTTTTCGTCGCTAAAGAAAACTATTCCGCCTAAAAACCTACCCTTTTGGCGACTAAACCTGTTTATAGTCGCCAAAAACCTCCCCCTCTGGCTACTAAAGTGAATTTTAGTCGCCATAAACCTGTTTTTAGCTACTAATTTTTTTTTAGTAGCCAAAAAGCTTGACCTTCAGCGACCAAACTGTTGTTAGTCGCCAAAACAGGTACAATCAGCGACCAAAGTGGTTTTTAGTCGCCAAAACCTTAACGTTTGGCTACCAAATGGTTTTAGTCGCCAAAAACCCTAACCTTTGGCTACTAAAAAAATTTTTGTCGCTAAAACCCCTATATTTGGCGACTAAACTGCCTTTTAGTCGCTAAAACCATTGCATTCGGCGACTAAACTCTTTTAGTCGGCAAAAGTGACCAATTTTGGCGACTAATTCCATTTTAGTCGCCAATTCTACGACTTTCAGCGACGAAAATTCCCATTTTAGTCGCCAATAGTGTTTTTTGTTGTGGTGTTATGTCCAACAAGTTTTTTATTTTTATTATTTTATTTTTTAGAGCTAAACAACGCATCATTTATTGCAGAAACTTTCACCACCGGCTGGAGATTGGAGATCACCTTAACGAGATAATCAAATCGATTCCATCTTAGAAAAGTACAAAGATTGTTAGTTATCATAATTTTTAAAATTTTTGTTAGTCTTTTACTTTTGTATTTTTGGTTCTAGGTATTATTAGTTTCTTCTGCCAGTTTAGTCCATCCATTTCTTCTACCTTCCTATTGGTTATGAGGCCCACTTCAAACAGGTTATTGTTAGTTGCTTAAATGAATCTTATTTGTTCTCATAACTGAATCTCAATGATATTAACTTAGAAGATATGATGATCTAGAGGATAACTGAACTTATACATTAAAATTTGTTGTCTGTCACGTTGTTTTCTATAGATCGAAACCTATACATTAGAAAGTTTCACTACTTTGATAGGGCTGCTCAATTTTTCTTTGTAACTATTTGTGATGTGATTTTGCTAATTTCAGCTCTGACGTGGGCTTACTTCTATAAATGTTGCTGATGCTTGTTATGTTATTTTCTCATTCTCTTATGATTGGAATCGTTTTCATCCCCTTGTGTTTTTTGAACTTCCACGCAGTAATTTGTCTTAGAAATGTAGTTCCTTTTTGCTTGTTTAGCTAATATAGTTCTCATGTGAAGAATGGAAATGATATAAACTGAAAAATCAATGTGCACTTTATTTTTCTTTTGATGGGCTTTACTCATTTTTTATTTGAATTCATTAAATATTGAGCTTAAAGTCCTTGCTATGACCATTTTCATGTATGGATTTCGAGATCAAGTTGCTAACAGTTGGTGGAAAAAGATTGAAACTTACGATTTGGAACATAGGTAATTAACATAGATAACTTGTTATTTGGAACTATTTTGTTTATTCAGTGTGGAAAATTTCTTGGATCCCAATAGCTAAAACAGTTGCTAAAATAGCTACTTTCCAATACCAAAACCCTACGCTTGCCTTTTTGAAATGTTGAGATAAAAAATAATTGCTGAAGTGTTTATGCAAATTCGAGTGGCTTTGGAGTTGTCAAAAGAGAGCTCTTAAATTAGATATTGACATGTATCTATCCTTCAAAACAGAAACACAAACAAAAACAACAATTTAGAAAAGTTTTTTTTATGGGCAAGCTTTACTGAACTTATTTTATTCAGACATATATTATTCAATATTCAGATATGAGGCAATTAAATTTTTTGGTTTGCAGCTGGACAAAAGAGGTTTGGAACATTGATAAGCTCTTACAATAGTGGTGCACATGGAATTATTCTCGGTAAGCTGTTTTCAAATGTAGAAAATTTGCATTCCAATGTCATTTATGTGGTAGTTATACTTTTGATAGTATATTTTTTTACAGTACTTCATATGGAATAGTTCTCTAATTTTTTTTTGGGTAACACATGAATTGTTTTGAAAATGTCTGCTCGGTCACATGCTTCTTCTTACCATTTCGATCAATTTAAATAGTTTTAATTGTTGATGTTTTGTTGTCATCTTTCCTCTACCTAATGTTTAAGCAACCATTTTTGTATTTACTTTTTGTTTTAGTTTATGATGTAACAGTGATGTGACCCCACGCGCTTCCAACTAGCAATAATAAAAATCACATTAAAATGTTCTTCTGAACAAAACTGTCTTCTTTGACTCCCTCTCCTTCACGAGCAAGGATTCCCTCCTTGACTTTCTTACTTGACTCCCTACTTGATGGGTCATTGGGTCCATTTTTTGGCTCAATTTCGATGATCCGAACCGTTCACATTTTAAAATTTGTTATGTACATTATACCTGTAAAAAATCAAATTGATCAAATATCAAAAGAACTAAAAACCGTTTATTAAAAAATTTAATAAACAGTTTTGTTGTTTAATAAAACTTTTAGTTCACGTGGTTTTTAATATCCGATCGACTTGATTTTTTACAAGTATGATATACATAACAAATTTTAAAATGTGAACGGTTCGGATCATCGAAATTAGGCCCAAAAATGAACCCAATGACCCATCAAATAAGGAATCAAATAAGAAAGTCAATGAGGAAATCCTTGCTCCTCTTTCACACATCAGTCTCACTTCAATTTTTCCCACTCTACAAGTGTCTTTCCTTTTTTTCTTGGTCCCCTCTTCTCTTTTTTCTTTTTTTTTTTATTTTTTATTTTTTATTTTTTTTATCTTTCTTGTTTCTTTCCTTTCTCTTTTTATCTTTCTGTCTATCACTTCATGTCCTCCAACTAAATTCTATACTTCTTGTTGTATTTTGATAAAATACATATTACTTTTGAGGATAAATTACAGACTTTCTTTGAAATTTTAAAAAATATATAACAAGTCTCATAATATTAATATAATTATATAAAAATGAATTAATTAATTAGAAGGATCAAAATTAATATATATGATGTCACACAGATAAATAAGACCAAAGTATGCATTTCAATATAAAAGAATTATCAACATAATTTTTTCATTCATATGACTAATTTTATAAAAAAATATTATGTAAATTAAATCGTTAGGAATCTCAATATAATTATGTTAAACTATGAAACTTAGGCCTATTTTGGAAAGGCTACATTTTAGTTAAAAAGTTACTACAAAAATGCTAACTCTTATCTCCTCCTTCTTTTTTTTTTCTTTTTTTTTTTGCCTTTTTTTTTTGTAAAAAATTCAAAAAATCCCAACAAAAAAAAAATCAATTATCAAAACAATTCTTATTGTAATTTTTTTCAAAATTTTGGGGAGGGGAGGCCAATGTAATTTATTCTACTTTCAATTATGTATATTTAATTTTATAAAATTCTTGTAGTTGAAAAATGTTGAGAATAGTATGACATAACACTAAATATATTTAATAAAGTTAAAAAATAAATTTAAATTCCAAAAATCTATGTCATTTTGAAGAAAAAAAATTATATAATTAAAAAGAGATATGCAATAGTAAAATTTCATAATATCATTTATTGAGTAAAAAAATTAATTAAATTTTTTTTTTTTGGCCTCAAAAAGTAATATGATGTCCTATTAACGTCTATAGGGCTATAAACGACAAATGAGAGAGGTGTATGATAAATTTGCCGAGCAAGGTTATATCTACGTACATTTTTATTAAACAATTTTACTAAAAATATTCAAATATTATAAGATGTTTAAATAATAGTGTGCTTGGTTTCAATTTTTTGAAAATTAAATTTTTTATTTTTTTTTATTTTTAGTGAATATTTTTAAAATTTTAAACAATTTTTTTACTTTTTAAATGCACCATACTTAGATATATCTAAAAGTAAAATATTTATAAAAAATCAATAAATAAACAAAAATATGAAAAATATACTAAATTCTCATATTTTATTTTATTTTTTTTTTGTATTTTTGATAGTTAGTTAATTAAATTTAACTCAAGCTTAAATATAATCAATACAAATTAAATTAATTGTGATTTTTTTTTTTTTTTTTTGAGGAAAATCCTCCCACTTTCCCGCAGGTCCAAGGCAGCGCTCCCTTGAGGAGATCACCAGGGTGTCCTGTTGTCCGTTCCGAGTAAGAGACTATAACCTGAAATCTTGTCCTGACCTCGCAAGGCAAGCTCCGCTTAAGTCAGGACTCACACAGCGGAAGAGAATTAAACCCACACCAAGTAGCTGATAAGGCATCATTGAGGTCAACCTCCTAACCAACTGTACTACGCCAAAGAGATTGGCCCATAAATAAAATTTTAAAATATATATACATATAAATATAAATAGGCTCGATTTTTTAGTTGATTTGGTTTAGGCAATACCTAAATCAAGAATCAACCCAATCCTATCTGTTTGATGATTTAAAAACTCAAAACCAAATTAACCCAACCCAAATAGGTTGATTTAATTTTATTTTCCAGTTTAATGAGTAATTTGAACACCCCTAGACAATTAGAAATTATCTAGTAAATCAAGAAGACCACATGCTAATGTGCCTGACTAATGAAATGTTATAATTTGTCCATTGTCTACTTGTTATTAAGGTTATGTATTTTGCTATTAATTAGACACAGAATCCACGTAAAATTCTTAAAAACTAAAATAATTACTCCCAGGCAAAGACTCAAGATTGCGATCATGACTTGATGGTGCCAAGGGCAACACTTGTATAAAACCAGTCTCTGTCTTGATTTTTACAAAGAAATTAAAAATTTGTAGTATTTGTAAATAAAAAAAATAATTACAAGTCAGTAAAAAAATCAATCAAATTTATAAGAGTGGGAATTCTGTAAAATCTCATGCAATTTTTTTTATTTTTTTATTTTTTTTTAAAAGAAGGACAAATATTTCTCACACACGTGCTTTGACATTCCCTTTTGACAGGTATCTCTCACTTCACTTTTTCTCACTCTACAGGTGTCTCTCATTTTTTTTCTCTTTCTTTTCTCTTTCTCGTGACGCATATCTACTCTAATCAAATTTTAAAATTATCATTTATATATATATATATATATTTTTTTTTGTATGTTAGAATATATATGAAGATAGAAGATAGAATTGATAAAATCGTGTCCAAATTTTTTGAGATGAATTTTTCTTGAAATAAAATAAAACGGCATCGTTTTAATCAAAACAATATTATTTTGCATAAGGGAAAAAAAATTAAAGAAACAAGAAAACGTAGAACAAAAAAAGAGAGATCGTTAGTGTCTCGCCAGAATCTCCTCCATCGTCGATTGGTCCATTCCTTCCCATTCTTCGTTGTCCCCCGTCTTCCTTTTCTCTTCCTCCTCATTCTCTTTTTCTTTTTCTTTTTCTTTTTCATCTTCTTTGTATAAAGGAGAGAAAACAATGAGAGAAATTGACAAGTGTCTAGACGTGGAAAGAGTATTTGGTGTTCACAAGGCATCACATGGCACATGCCATGCATCAATCACAATACATTATGTTTCCTATTGTTTTCCTATTGATACAAATTTGTGAACTTCGCCTGCGTCGGCTCTACTTTCACCGTCACCGCCATCTCCACCAAGTGGGACACTATCTGTTCATACCGTTCACGACACCAAATAACTGTTCTCAAAGAACAATTGATTATTAATAGTAGGTGATTAGGTGTTAAGAATGGGATAACCAAGCTCAAAATGGTGTGGAATAGGTCTAGAAAGTACAAGACAATTGGTTCGATAATCTATGTAAATATCCCTTACGATAGTAAAAGAGTCTAAGGTTTAGAATTTAAACCGATGGAGTAGTTGTGACCCTTTTGTTATAATGTAACTTGCTAAACCACTAGCAACTTATCATTTGCCAAATCCCCCGAAAAAAAAAAAAAAATCTAAAAGGGTTAAACGGGCTGGGAATCCACAGTTAAATGATAATGGGTCAAATTTTATGGGCCTCTCGTATTGACCACTGGAAAAATCTACAGGTTGTTGTATGGTCCATATAGAAAAGCAACACACACATAATCAATCACAAAACTCATTTGGGAGTTAACTTTTTAATTTTTGAATTTTTAATTACTTTATTATGGATATAAAATTTCGTTTGGGATAAATTTTTTTGATTTTTTTAACTTTTATGAAAAAAAAAATAAAATAATTATGATTTAAATGTGACATTTTATTTTATTTAATTAAAAAATTGATTTTATCTTTTTATAACTATATTAGTCAAAAATATTTCATTTTAGCTTATGTCAAATGGGAGTGCGGGGCAGGTGCTGTCACAGCACCATGCAGTAAACGGGGTCGTTTAATTTATTTATAAAAGAAAAAATGAATTACACGAAGAGCGGAACGGGCTCCTTTTGCTGAAAAGAAAACATTTAATTCCTTAAAAAGTCCAACACATATGATTATTATCAAAATATTAAATTTTAATATAATATAATAAAAAAAAAGAAAACATTTAATTCCTTAAAAAGTCCAACACATATGATTATTATCAAAATATTAAATTTTAATATAATATAATAAAAAAAAAGAAAACATTTAATTCCTTAAAAAGTCCAACACATATGATTATTATCAAAATATTAAATTTTAATATAATATAATAAAAAAAAAGAAAACATTTAATTCCTTAAAAAGTCCAACACATATGATTATTATCAAAATATTAAATTTTAATATAATATAATAAAAAAAAAGAAAACATTTAATTCCTTAAAAAGTCCAACACATATGATTATTATCAAAATATTAAATTTTAATATAATATAATAAAAAAAAAGAAAACATTTAATTCCTTAAAAAGTCCAACACATATGATTATTATCAAAATATTAAATTTTAATATAATATAATAAAAAAAAAGAAAACATTTAATTCCTTAAAAAGTCCAACACATATGATTATTATCAAAATATTAAATTTTAATATAATATAATAAAAAAAAAGAAAACATTTAATTCCTTAAAAAGTCCAACACATATGATTATTATCAAAATATTAAACTTTAATATAATATAAAAAAAGAAAAAAAAGAAGACATTTAAAAATTAAAAAAAAAAAGACATTTAAAAATCGCAATTCATATATATAGATAATTGTAAATATATTAAGAAAAATGGGGTTTCTAAACCCCAAGCCTTGTAGGAGCTCCAATTTCTCAATCTTAATTTTTTTAAAAAAAATCTCCGC